TACTCTTTCCTGTATTCACTTTCAATTTTCTTCTTTTGCACACCCTACCAAATTCATCAACCAATCTCTGCAACTTCTCTTCAGAATCTCCCAAGAGCACAGTGTCATCAGCAAAGAGCAACTGTGACAACTCCCACTTTGTGTGATTCTCTATCTTTTAACTCCACGCCTCTTGTCAAGACCCTCGCATTTACTTCTCTTACAACCCCATCTATAAATATATTAACCACGGTGACATCACACATCCTTGTCTAAGGCCTACTTTTACTGGGAAATAATTTCCCTCTTTCCTACATACTCTAACTTGAGCCTCGCTATCCTCGTAAAAACTCTTCACTGCTTTCAGTAACCTACCTCCTACACCATACACCTGCAACATCTGCCACATTGCCCCCCTATCCACCCTGTCATACGCCTTTTCCAAATCCATAAATGCCACAAAGACCTCTTTAGCCTTATCTAAATACTGTTCACTAATATGTTTCACTGTAAACACCTGGTCCACACACCCCCTACCTTTCCTAAAGCCTCCTTGTTCATCTGCTATCCTATTCTCCGTCTTACTCTTAATTCTTCCAATAATAACTCTACCATACACTTTGCCAGGTATACTCAACAGACTTATCCCCCTATAACTTTTGCACTCTTTTATCCCCTTTGCCTTTATACAAAGGAACTATGCATGCTCTCTGCCAATCCCTAGGTACCTTACCCTCTTCCATACTATATGTATTTATAATTCCTAGGTAGTAGGTTGGTAGACAGCAACTGCCCAGGGAGGTACTACCGTCCTGCCAAGTGAGTGTAAAACGAACGCCTGTAATTGTTTTACATGATGGTAGGATTGCTGGCGTCTTTTCTGTCTCATGAACATGCAAGATTTCAGGTACGTCTTGTTACTTCTACTTACACTTAGGTCACACTACACATACATCTACAAGCATATATATACACACCCCTCTGGGTTTTCTTCTATTTTCTTTCTAGTTCTTGTTTATTTTCTCTTATCTTCATGGGGAAGTGGAACATAATTTTCTCCGTGAGCCATGCGTGTTGTAAGAGGCGACTAAAATGCCAGGAGCATGGGGCTAGTAACCCCTTCTCCTATATAAATTACTAAATTTAAAAAGGAACTTTTGTTTTTCTTTTTGGGCCACCCTGCCTCGGTGGGATACAGCCGGTTTGTTGAAAGAAGAAAGTGTTTATAATTGTTTTGTGCATGTATTTTTTTGAATATTTTTGTGGGTCTGGAATGGATTAATTGGATTTACATTATTTCTTATGGGAAATATTGCTTCGACTTTAGGCCGTTTCAACTTTAGGCCTAGCTCCTGGAACGGATTATGGCTGAAACTCAGAGTTCCACTGTACATTATTTAAGTTACCATAATAGTCAGAAAGCCCGTTGTAAGTCTGAGTCGTCAGAAAACGAGTACGTCGCTAAATGAGGAGAGGCTGTACAGTGTTATTGCATCATCAAATATACAGTGGAACCTCGACTTACAAGTTTAATCCGTTCTGTGACCTAGCTCGTAACCCAATTTGCTCGTATATCAAATCGCTTTTTCTCATTTAAATTAAATGAAATGCCATTAATCCGTTCCAGCGGAATTCCTGCTCTCTTGAGGCAGGACAAAATACCTGAATATGACGCTAATATCAACTCTGTGGCTTATTGGTTAATCATAATTCTTCTAATATGACATAATAAACAATATAATTAACACAGAAGTATGATATATACTCTAGAATGAATAAAATAGGCCATAATATGGCATGTGATGGTGGCAGAGGCAGCGGCGGCAGTGTCCGTTTCCTCTCCCTCTGATTATAGCACTTTCCCATGCTCTTATTATAAGAGAAAACAGAGTTTTTTGTGAGGCTAACTGCAGTAGATCACTAGTTTCCTAAGGAAAACACTTAAACAGTGTATTTATAAATGAGACATATTGTATAAAAACATGAAACATAATACTAAAGAATGTAAAGAAATAAATTGTTTATATAAAGTGCTTACACACTTGGAACAGAGATGGTGACAAAGGTTGAGGGCGAGAGAGGCAGTGTGGCATATGATGTCATTGGCCCTATAAACCTCCAACAACATTGGAGGAGTTAGTTTCGTTTCATCAGTTTTCTATCACTTAATCGCTTAACTTACTTGGTACACTCTTAATGCTACACTTTATCGCTGAACTAACTGATACAGTTTGTTTTATCACATATCATAGATGTACTACGCTGGTATTGCCTGGCTAAGTCCACAACTCTTACACTTTATGATTATCTATGATTTCATGCTTTAATTCAATTGACATCATCCTCTTTTTCTTCTCAGCACTGTCCTTTCCACTTATTTTCTTAGGACTCATGGCTAAAAAAAAGAAATTTGGCCAAATTACTGTAAAAAAGAAAAAATGCAAATAAGCACGAGAGAAATCCTCCCACAGCGAGGCAAATACGTGCACTCCCTATTGGATATTTTAGCATTCGTGAGACACCTAGTGGCAGTATTCTGAAGTATAATTCTTTATTATTATTATTATGTACTCTTATGTATTATTAATTATTATTATTATTAATTACTATTATTATGTACTATTAAGTATAATTATTATTATTATTAACCCACTAACTGTCCAAACGTTTCTTACCTCTAGTGCTCCAAACGTAGATCTACATTTTATTTTTCCTGCCTCCAAATTTGGAATGATTGGCCTAAGATGCCTGGTCAGCATAGAATGGGTCTTAACCCTCGGTGTGTGCAGTATTAAAAAAAATCTGGGACCACTTAGTACCTTGTGAGAGCACCAGTTCAATTGAGTGCCAGCTAGAGCAAACAGCACGGCAAACACCAAGGATTCACTGATATCATGTGTATTAACACACCCCTTTTAAGAGAAAAGTGTCATCCTGTCAGAATGTCCTATAACCTATGCCCTAAGTAAAAAGAAACAATTCTGGAACTGTAATTTTGGCAGGCTAGCCAGCAGCTGGCTGGCTGATTGGCTGTGTCTATCTCCATCTGTCTGTATCTATTTCTGTCTATCTCTTTGTCTCTGTCTCTCTCTCTCACAGGAACGCATATGTAAATACAATTATACAGAGTGTAAATTACCTAGGATAACCTCAAAAATCCAGACAAAGTGCTATACTGTGCTTGTAGATAGTTATCGTGTGTAATACCAGTTGGTTAATGAACAACTCTGAGACAAGAGAGGCAAGCAGACAGAAACACACAGGCAGATGCACAGACAGAGAGTTAGACAGACAGATTCAGACATGTTTGTGTAGCAATGAAAACAAAGCGAAGGCTCATCAAATATCACCACTGTCATTAGTGGAGTGATGAGACTAGCTCATCAAATGTCACCATTGTCAGCAGTGGAGTGATAAGACAAGACAAGTGACACACTGTTACATGCTTCAAGGGAACTTACTACTATTATTATTATTATTATTGTTATTATTATTATTGTTATTATTATTATTATTATTATTATTATTATTATTATTATTATTATTATTATATACTCCTGTGTATCCAAAACATTGCTGGGGCCCATAAATAATATGTGCATATTTCTAGACAATAGTATGTGACTAAGGTAGGTGGAAATGTTCACCTGTCAGTTTGTGACTATTTGAGTACTATTTCAGTACCTAATACTAGTGTCAGAACAAAGATTGGCTATCAGATCACAAGAACTTCTATAAATAGTAATTATCAGAACATAAAAATTATATAAAATATAAAAACGAGAAAAAAAGGTATATCGGCAACACTTCTGCAAGCGGCAGGACTCGTGTCGTCTTTTTTTGGGCAAGAGAAAGTAGATCTACGTTTGGACAGTTAATTTAGGGAACTAAAGCTCCTCTTATTATTATTATTAATTTTATAATTATTATTTTTATAATTATTATTATTATTATTATTATTATTATTATTATTATTATTAATTTAGGGAACTGGAGCAGAGATCCAATTCCCTAATCTAATAATAATAATAATATAAAAATAATAAGAGGAGCTTCAGAACACTAGTTGGAGCAGCCACTGTTTACCTCACTGTGGGAGTATTTCTCTTGTTTGCTTGCATTTTGTGCAGTTATTTTTGCCAAATTTCTTTTTTTTAACCATGGGTCCTAAGAAAGTTAGTGTAAAGGACACTGCTTAGAAGAAAAAGAGGATAATTTCCATGGAATTATAGCATGAAATCATAGATAAACAAGCAAGGTGTGCAGGTAATGGGTTGAGGAAGCTGGCTTGTAACTCGGAGCAAAAAATTGACTGATCAGTGGCTCGTATCTTGAACGAGTGGATTGCACCAAAATGTGGCAAGAGTTAAATTTGATCTTTCTGTAAGAATTTTTTTTTTTAGATTTTTTAAATATTTTTTTTCCTAATTGCACCTGCTTGAGGAAATTGGACTGCCATCTTGCCAAATGGCAGTTCAACCAGGCTGTGCTGGATATGTGGGCCAACAGTTTCACATATTCTGATTGATCAGGCAGTCATGTGCAAAATCTGGTCTGGGATAGGCTGCTGGGGCAGTGACTGCAGGTAGGGGTAATCTTTCCAGAATATTAGAAATAGTTTTCTGCACAGTACCTATAGTGTGTGGGTGTTTTAAGTCAGTATTGCAGAGGCTATTTTGTATAACTAGCATAGAGGCCTTATGCTGAACATTGTAAAGTGTATGTTGTTTACCTGTATTATAGGGTTTTTATTGAATATTGCAAAGCATATAGTACCTAACTTAGAATAGACTGAGAAACTAGTCGGGCAATATATCTATAGTCTTGTACTACAGTATATAAGTTGCATATTCTTTCATTCGTTTATATAATATTCTGTGTGTACTTAACGGTACAATATTTTAACCAATGAAGTCAAAAAGTCTACTATGCTGCAGTTCAAGAGTTGTATGGTTTTAATAGCTATTTTATTCAAAAGTATTCTAGTTTTCAAATTTATGATTATATGAAATAAGTTTTAGCAAAAATTTTCTTTACAGGAACGACTTGAGCGCCAATACAGCGAGTTCAATGGGGAGATTAATAGCCTACAAACTGAGTTGGCAGACATAAAAAATATAAAAGATGACCTCACACGCTATATCAGAGAATTAGAACAAAAGAATGATGATTTAGAAAGATCTAAAAGGTAATGTATTTACTGCCATTGCTTTCATAGAAAGAAAGGGGTTTGACTGTTCTTATTGAAGTTGAAACTGCATGTGTATATCATTCCTTCACATGAATGCAAAAGAGCATGGGTGCATGATTTTTAATATAGAAAAACTTAATACATGTCATTTTTTTAAATTCAGATTTTAAGAGATTCAATTTCAGAATACAGTCATTCACTTCATAACGACATTTTGGTCAGCGATAGACTGCGCGCACATCAGTGGTGCCGTAAGATTATAATGGAGCTGAAAAATTCCTGTTGCCTAGTGACATCGTAGCCGTCATAGTGTAGCACGTGTGTTACTGGTTTATGGATTAACTGTACAGTGGAATCTTGGTTGTCAAATTTAATTCGTTCCAGATGTTGATTCGACAACCAAAATGGATGACAACCAAAGCCATTTTTCCCATAAAGAATAATGTAAATAGAATTAATCCATTCCAGACCCCAAATGACAATACAGAAATAATTTATTAAAAATGTACTAACTACTACATACAACTAAAAATGAATACTAAAAGCAGCTTTAACTGAAATACTGTACAATAAATGAAAACTTACCTGTCAGAGGAGAGCTAATGGCATACTGGGAGCAGGAGGTGGAGGAGAGCAGGGGATTGTTACTGCTTGGAAGGAGAGTCGCCTATTAATATGTCGGGCAACTGTCCTTCTGATGCTTCTCATCTTTGTCTCTTTTCACCAATAACACCTTGTTCTGGCTCTCTGGTTCTTTCTCACTAAAAACCTGTCCAGGGAGTTTTGTTTCAGGCTCCATTTCAACACTTATCTAAATTGAGACATTACACTGTCACTGTACATGTTAGAAAGATGGATGGCCACTGCTTTGGATGGTATTTTTCAGCAAACTCCTGCACTTCATGCCATTTAGCACATTTCCTTGACAAGTGCTATAGGAACATCATCCCTTCCCTCTTTCTCTGATGACAGCTTCTCCGCTGCAGTCTGTTGCTGCTCCTTCTAGAAGTTCTTCTGTGGTGAGTTCAGTTCTGTGCTCCTCCTCCAGCTCCTCTACATCATCTTGGTCACCTCTAGGCCCAAGGTCTTTCCCAGGGACGCACTATCCTGTACCAGCTCAGGCTCATCTTCAGTGCCTTGAAAATCCCTGGCTACCACAAAGTCAGGCCACAATTTCTTCCATGCTGACTGAATGGTCCTGGAAGACGCATTACCCCCATGCTGTCGACTCATTGTCCAGTGCTCATTCTGTGAGCACATGATCCAAGCTGTTCGCATTGTCGGTCAACAACCAAGAGAATGTATGCAAACCAGGACATTTTCTTCTCTAATTCCTCTTTCAAAAACTGATTTGTTTGTCAACAACTGAGGTTCCACTGTACTGTGTTTTTATCATTATTCTAGAGTGTACTCTTTCAACTTATCATTTTCCCTTGTACTTGATTTAATCTCTTGCTTTGTTCGTCATGTCTCCTTTAATCTCTTGCTTTGTTCGTCATGTCTCCTAAGGTTTGTAGACTAGGAACAGTAGGCTATACCATTGATCTATGATGTTCACACAGTGACAAAATCACTTGACACATTTCTCAGAAAGTATCCCCATTATTAAGCGACACATCGCTGTACACAGAATTATCAGATTTATTTAGTGTTAATAATGATAATTATTTTTTGTGTAGTAAATTAAATAATGACAAGTGAGATTCTATTATACAGTATCTTTTGTATTGTTGTAGTAAAGTGGAAGGGATATTATCATTTCTCTCTCTTCATATATATGTACAGTGAGGCAATTTGGGCAGGCTCTTTAAAAAATTCTAGAGTATTTAACCCTTTGACTGTCACGGCCGTATATATACGTCTTACGAGGTACTGTGTTTGACGTATGTACAGTGGACCCCCGGTTAACGAAATTTTTTCATTCCAGAAGTATGTTCAGGTGCCAGTACTGACCGAATTTGTTCCCATAAGGAATATTGTGAAGTAGATTAGTCTATTTCAGACCCCCAAACATACACGTACAAATGCACTTACATAACTACACTTACATAATTGGTCGCATTGGGAGGTGATCGTTAAGCGGGGGTCCACTGTATACTCATAAATTCTAGCGGCTTCAAATCAAGCAGGAGAAAGCTGGTAGGCCCACATGTGAGAGAATGGGTCTGTGTGGTCAGTGTACACCATATAAAAAAAATCCTGGAGCATGCAGTGCATAATGAGAAAAAAAAACTGACCGTTTTTTTAATTAAAATGCCGACTTTGTGGTGTATTTTCATATAGTATTTATGATTGTATTCTCGTTTTCTTGGTCTCATTTGATAGAATGGAAAACATATTATAGAAATAGAGGTGATTTTGATTGATTTTACTATAAAAAGAACCTAGAAATGGAGCTCAAAGTAGGGGAAATGTTTGATTTTTGCCAATGTTCAAAAGTAAACAAATGATGCCATTGTCCAAAAAATGTCCAACTAGCCATTCTAATATGCAGTTATGAATGGGTTGATGTTATTTATACAATTATTACAGTATTGCAGTAGTCTGCATAATAGTAAGTCTTCTATTTTTTGTTTGAATAAAAATTCAAAATAGAAAGCAAGAGTAATATCAGAGGGGCCTGGAGACGTGACTGATGAACAAAAAAAATGTTATTTTAGAGCCAGGAATGTCTGCATTGTTCATTCTGGACCTTATTTTGAAATTGTCATATTTTTTTAGTTTTCGTGAAATTGGCCAAATTGCAAATTTCTGACCGCATTATTAGGTAGTTGAAATCGGTAAATGGGCAGTTTCTTGTACTCAATCGATAGAAAAAATGGAGTTCTAAAGAAATAGCTATGAGTTTGGGCGACTGGAACAATGGAATTAGCCGAAAAGAGGGCTCAAAGTGGGCGAAATCGCCGATTTGTAAAGAGCGCCGAGGTCGCTAACTTCGCAAGAGCATAATTCCGTCAGTTTTCCATCAAATTTCGTTTTTTTTGGTGTCATTACAATCGGGAAAAGATTCTCTATCATTTCATAAGAAGAAAATTTTTTTTTTTTTTAAATTTTGCGACACCAGGAGACACCTCAGGATTGGGGGTTGTGACAGTCAAAGGGTTAATCATTATTCATAGGACTGTAATTTATTTAGTGATGTCTGTATCCATGCATTTTTTAAAAATTATTTGTGGTAAAGATGCACAATATTTTTTTTTTTTTTTATTATTATCACACTGGCCGATTCCCACCAAGGCAGGGTGGCCCGAAAAAGAAAAACTTTCACCATCATTCACTCCATCACTGTCTTGCCAGAAGGGTGCTTTACACTACAGTTTTTAAACTGCAACATTAACACCCCTCCTTCAGAGTGCAGGCACTGTACTTCCCATCTCCAAGACTCAAGTCCGGCCTGCCGGTTTCCCTGAATCCCTTCATAAATGTTACTTTGCTCACACTCCAACAGCACGTCAAGTATTAAAAACCATTTGTCTCCATTCACTCCTATCAAACACGCTCACGCATGCTGCTGGAACTCCAAGCCCCTCGCACACAAAACCTCCTTTACCCCCTCCCTCCAACCCTTCCTAGGCCGACCCCTACCCCGCCTTCCTTCCACTACAGACTGATACACTCTTGAAGTCATTCTGTTTCGCTCCATTCTCTCTACATGTCCGAACCACCTCAACAACCCTTCCTCAGCCCTCTGGACAACAGTTTTGGTAATCCCGCACCTCCTCCTAACTTCCAAACTACGAATTCTCTGCATTATATTCACACCACACATTGCCCTCAGACATGACATCTCCACTGCCTCCAGCCTTCTCCTCACTGCAACATTCATCACCCACGCTTCACACCCATATAAGAGCGTTGGTAAAACTATACTCTCATACATTCCCCTCTTTGCCTCCAAGGACAAAGTTCTTTGTCTCCACAGACTCCTAAGTGCACCACTCACTCTTTTTCCCTCATCAATTCTATGATTCACCTCATCTTTCATAGACCCATCCGCTGACACGTCCACTCCCAAATATCTGAATACGTTCACCTCCTCCATACTCTCTCCCTCCAATCTGATATTCAATCTTTCATCACCTAATCTTTTTGTTATCCTCATAACCTTACTCTTTCCTGTATTCACCTTTAATTTTCTTCTTTTGCACACCCTACCAAATTCATCCACCAATCTCTGCAGCTTCTCTTCAGAATCTCCCAAGAGCACAGTGTCATCAGCAAAGAGCAGCTGTGACAACTCCCACTTTGTGTGTGATTCTTTATCTTTTAACTCCACGCCTCTTGCCAAGACCCTCGCATTTACTTCTCTTACAACCCCATCTATAAATATATTAAACAACCACGGTGACATCACACATCCTTGTCTAAGGCCTACTTTTACTGGGAAAAAGTTTCCCTCTTTCCTACATACTCTAACTTGAGCCTCACTATCCTTGTAAAAACTCTTCACTGCTTTCAGTAACCTACCTCCTACACCATACACTTGCAACATCTGCCACATTGCCCCCCTATCCACCCTGTCATACGCCTTTTCCAAATCCATAAATGCCACAAAGACCTCTTTAGCCTTATCTAATTACTGTTCACTTATATGTTTCACTGTAAACACCTGGTCCACACACCCCCTACCTTTCCTAAAGCCTCCTTGTTCATCTGCTATCCTATTCTCCGTCTTACTCTTAATTCTTTCAATTATAACTCTACCATACACTTTACCATGTACACTCAACAGACTTCTCCCCCTATAATTTTTGCACTCTCTTTTATCCCCTTTGCCTTTATACAAAGGAACTATGCATGCTCTCTGCCAATCCCTAGGTACCTTACCCTCTTCCATACATTTATTAAATAATTGCACCAACCACTCCAAAACTATATCCCCACCTGCTTTTAACATTTCTATCTTTATCCCATCTATCCCGGCTGCCTTACCCCCTTTCATTTTACCTACTGCCTCACGAACTTCCCCCACACTCACAACTGGCTCTTCCTCACTCCTACAAGATGTTATTCCTCCTTGCCCTATACACGAAATCACAGCTTCCCTATCTTCATCAACATTTAACAATTCCTCAAAATATTCCCTCCATCTTCCCAATACCTCTAACTCTCCATTTAATAACTCTCCTCTCCTATTTTTAACTGACAAATCCATTTGTTCTCTAGGCTTTCTTAACTTGTTAATCTCACTCCAAAACTTTTTCTTATTTTCAACAAAATTTGTTGATAACATCTCACCCACTCTCTCATTTGCTCTCTTTTTACATTGCTTCACCACTCTCTTAACCTCTCTCTTTTTCTCCATATACTCTTCCCTCCTTGCATCACTTCTACTTTGTAAAAACTTCTCATATGCTAACTTTTTCTCCCTTACTACTCTCTTTACATCATCATTCCACCAATCGCTCCTCTTCCCTCCTGCACCCACTTTCCTGTAACCACAAACTTCTGCTGAACACTCTAACACTACATTTTTAAACCTACCCCATACCTCTTCGACCCCATTGCCTATGCTCTCATTAGCCCATCTATCCTCCAATAGCTGTTTATATCTTACCCTAACTGCCTCATCTTTTAGTTTATAAACCTTCACCTCTCTCTTCCCTGATGCTTCTATTCTCCTTGTATCCCATCTACCTTTTACTCTGTGTAGCTACAACTAGAAAGTGATCTGATATATCTGTGGCCCCTCTATAAACATGTACATCCTGAAGTCTACTCAACAGTCTTTTATCTACCAATACATAATCCAACAAACTACTGTCATTTCGCCCTACATCATATCGTGTATACTTATTTATCCTCTTTTTCTTAAAATATGTATTACCTATAACTAAACCCCTTTCTATACAAAGTTCAATCAAAGGGCTCCTATTATCATTTACACCTGGCACCCCAAACTTACCTACCACACCCTCTCTAAAAGTTTCTCCTACTTTAGCATTCAGGTCCCCTACCACAATTACTCTCTCACTTGGTTCAAAGGCTCCTATCATTCACTTAACATCTCCCAAAATCTCTCTCTCTCCTCTGCATTCCTCTCTTCTCCAGGTGCATACACGCTTATTATGACCCACTTCTCGCATCCAACCTTTACTTTAATCCACATAATTCTTGAATTTACACATTCATATTCTCTTTTCTCCTTCCATAATTGATCATTTAACATTACTGCTACCCCTTCCTTTGCTCTAACTCTCTCAGATACTCCAGATTTAATCCCATTTATTTCCCCCACTGAAACTCTCCTACCCCCTTCAGCTTTGTTTCGCTTAGAGCCAGGACATCCAACTTCTTTTCATTCATAACATCAGCAATCATCTGTTTCTTGTCATCCGCACTACATCCACGCACATTTAAGCATCCCAGTTTTATAAAGTTTTTCTTCTCTTTTTTAGTAAATGTATACAGGAGAAGGGGTTACTAGCCCATTGCTCCCGGCATTTTAGTCGCCTCATACGACACGCATGGCTTACGGAGGAAAGATTCTTTTCCACTTCCCCATGGACAATAGAAGAAATAAAAAAGAACAAGAGCTATTTAGAAAAAGGAGAAAAACCTAGATGTATGTATATATATATATGCATGTGCGTGTCTGTGAAGTGTGACCAAAGTGTAAGTAGGAGTCGCAAGATATCCCTGTTATCTAGCGTGTTTATGAGACAGAAAAAGAAACCAGCAATCCTACCATCATGCAAAACAGTTACAGGTTTTTGTTTCACAGACATCTGGCAGGATGGTAGTATTTCCCTGGGTGGTTGCTGTCTACCAACCTACTACAATATTTGTCGGGGTTTATTTTTTGTGTTTTGGCTGTTTTCTCACTGTTCTCTTGTCAGGCATTTTCTACATGTTCATACAATTCTGTCACTCATTACTACCATTTGCTTATCTTAGCTACATTACAGTACCGTACTTTCCTCAACTTGTGGACTTTGAAGTTAACGTATTTAACCATATAACCTAAACTAAGAATCTGCTGCTTTGATAAGTAGCAGCATTCCCCTACCCACATAGGAAGTTCAAAATCTAGACCAGATGGTTCTCTAAATCTTAACATTAGTATCTCAACTGGGGTAATTGGGTTTCTAATGATTGTGAAATGCTGCTTGGGATGATGTACATGATTGATTTTGCTTACAGTGTGTGTCGTGTGTGTGTGTGTGTGTGTGTGTGTGTGTGTGTGTTGTTTGTGGTGTGGTGTTTGTGGTGTGTGTGTTTTGTGGTGTGTGTGTGTGTTTGTGGTGTGTGTGTTTGTGGTGTTGTGTGTGTAATTTTGGGTCTTGGCCCAAAAAAGTTTGAATTACTGAACTGTATAATGTAAATTTGTACAAGAATTGAAATTCCAACAAAGTTGTTTTTCTTTTCATTGTTGTTTTACATTAAGTTTTTAACATTTGTGTTTATGACTACCTGTTGATTGTTACAGGAGCAGAACCATGCTCATAGTGTGTAAATGTAAGAATTTTTTGTTTTATGAGCTTTTTTTTTTTTTTCTCAGAGCGACATTAACATCATTAGAAGACTTTGAGGCTCGGCTGAATTTAGCCATAGAGCGCAATGCCTTTTTGGAGTCTGAGCTGGATGAAAAGGAGGATCTGAAGGTGACAGTACAGCGACTGAAGGATGAAGCAAGAGGTGAGGGCTCCTCTTGCTAATACTTTTTTTTTTTTTAGCTTATAACTAAAATATTAAAAACTACATTAAATTTTTCATGTGGGTGGGGGATGAGGGATTATGTACCAGAAACTTGTAGAATATTTAATTTGTATTTAACCATTTTTAAGCAGGTTATTTCCTACAATTTAAATTGTTAAGGGGCGTTTTGCTTTAACCCCCATCTGTCCTTTGTTAAAATACTTCCCTTCACTAGGAAATTAACCCTTTGACTGTCGCAGGCCCCACTCTGAAACTGTCATTCTATGTTGCAAAATTTAAAAAAAAAAAAATTATTTTTTCTTATGAAAATGTTAGGATTATTTTACTGAGTGTTTTAAGTCTAAAAAAAAATTTTTTGCCATCAGTACTTACCGAGATATAGAGGTGCAAAGTTCGCCAAAATTGAGCTGCGTATGGCAACAGTGGCGACTGCCGCCCACCCGGTATTCTTTTATTTACTCTAGTTAGAAAGTTTCTTGAGTTTTCCAATATTTTTCTTTTCCAAGTAACTTACGTGGCCTGTGAGACCAACGTAAGGTGCATTGTTCAAATATACACTTATTGTTTACAACACAATCGCTGAACAAACTTCATCACTATTAGTTTATGAAAGTTGTTTACACAAACAAACAATACAAAACATTGTTTATTACTATTGTTCCATAATATATATACATATGTACAGTCACTGAACACGTTCCTAGAACTGCTGCAGCTTGTGGAACTCTTTGAAACATGGGTATATGCAGAGGGGCACTTAACCCTTTGAGGGTCGACAGGCCCTCTCCGAAACTCGTTCTCAGGGTCGGCCAAATTTAAAAAAAAAAAAAAATTATTTTTTCTTATGAAAAGATAGAGAATCTTTTCCCGATCATAAAGACACCAAAAGTTTGAAATTTGATAGAAAACTTACGGAATTATGCTCTCGCAAAGTTAGCGGTCTCGGCGATGTTTACGCATCGGCGATTTTGCCCACTTTGAGCCCCATTTTCGGCCAATTTCACTGTACTAGTCGACAAAAAACATGAATATTTCGCTAGAACTCCATTTTTTCTATCGAATGGGTGCAAGAAACCACTCATTTATGAAATTCAACTATCCAGTACAGTGGTCAGAATTTAGCAATTTTGCCAATTTCACACAAATTTCAAAAGATGCCAATTTCCAAATAGGGTCCAGAATAAACAAGAAAGACATTCCTGGCACTAAAATGACATATCCTCTAGTCATTAGTCACGTCTCAAGGCCCCTCTTATATTCTTTTGCTTTCCACTTTGAATTTTTATTTTCACAAAAAATATAAGATTTACTGTTATGCAGACTACTGCATTAGTGTAAAAAATGGTATAAATATTATTGGTGCACTTGTGAAAGAATATTAGACTCACCAGTTGACGTGTATTGCACGCTTGGCACGATTCGTTTACTTTTGAAGTTTGGTAAAAATCGAACTTTTTCTGCTACTTTGAGCTAAATTTTTCAAGGCACCTTTTCTTTGAAAAACCCAGTAAAAATATTCAATTTTGTAATATTCTTCCTTCTTAAAATGAGACCAAGAAAATAGAAACAACAATAAATACCATACGAAATTTTCACGCAAATTGCTGATTTATTCAAAAAAAATGGTCAAAGTTTTTTTTTTCTCATTATGCACTGTTTGCTGCAGGATTTTTTTTAGACTGCACACTGACCACATAGACCCATTCTTTCATATGAAGGCCTACCAGCTTTCTCCCACTAGATTTGAGGCCGCTAGAATTTATGAGTACTAGTACGTCAAAAAACCCTACGCGTAAGACGTACTAGTACGACGAAAACCCTCAAAGGGTTAACACTCCTCACACATAAAACGAGTGTCTGCGTGTTTGTGGGCGTTTTGTGGTATGTCCACTTACAAAACACCTCTTCTGAGCATTTTTCTTGGAAGCAGTAGGAGGCAGTAGTATAGGGTAGTGATCACCAGGCCTGAAACGAGATGGCGTGTGTTGGTAATTTCGTGGGTGCTGGTCTATTGCAAGTATTGTTCCCTGGTACTTGGCGATTATTTGTCTGATGACTGACAAACAAAAATCACCATATTTTGGTGTTTTGTTGGTCCTCAACTTTGTTATAAGCATTTAGCATGGAGATATCAACAAAATGGAAAAAAGGTTTTATATACCACTTATAACTCTTGCGTACACAATCTGCAAACCCAATCTGCATGTCACATTTGTCCACTAAGCTCATATTGATGTTGTAGTCCATGACAGCTGCAGGCTTTAGAATGGGTTCATTGGTGTCTCTGTTCTGCCTGCCAGTGTGTGCCATTTCATTTCAGTGAACTGATGTCAACAATGTGACATCACGTTTGTCATGCCACCAAAATGCCATGTCATTGGCAGCAAAGGCTTGCACCTCACCTCTGCGAGTGCCAGCGTTGAACCTTGGCATATGTTTACGATTACCACGCACTGTGCCACACACGTCTGTCAAGTTCACTCGCAAGAAATCACTGAGTAAGGGGCTTGTGTACCAGTCATCAGTAAATAACATGCCCCTTGCCAAGATATGGTTCCATCATTGTTCTAACCACATCACCAGAGATACCCAATAACTTCATGGTATCTCTCGAAGTAGTACTGCCAGTGTACACAATGATATCCAAAACTAGACCACTTCTGCAATCACACAGTACAAATAACTTTATACCAAAGCGTTTCCTCTTGCTTGGTACATATTGCTTGAATGCGAGTCTTCCTTTGAAAAAAATCAGACTCGTCAATAACAAGTTTCCTGAGGGGATAAAAATACATGCAGCACTTTTGTTTCATGTACATGAACACATTTCTGATCTTATATAACCTGTCGCTTTTGTCAGGCCTGGTTTTGTCTGAAAAGTGTAACATGCGTAACAGTATCAAGAAACGATTGACACCTATAATGTCACTAAAACTTGGTGTTGAAATCAGGCGTTCTGTTGTCCAGTATGTGGTGACAGTGTGCTTATAAACATGTGGCATAAGCATTATTGTGGCAAAAAACAAGTACATCTCAGCCACAGTTGTGTCCTTCCACTGGTGTAGCCGTGATCTTGGTGAGAGAATTGCATTTGCCATGGTGTACTCATAGTATGTGTTGGTTTCCCTGACAATGATGTCCACCAGGGGTTCATCAAAGAAAAACTCAAAGCATTCCAGTTCACTAGCATTGTTCCCAAGTGGACATGATGGCTTTATTCCACTTTGTGTTTCATCAAAGCCATGGGGACTGGGAACAAACTTGTCACCTTCCTGCCAATCCCAGATGCGGTCTGCTGGTGGGTTCTGGATATTGTACCGTGGTTGTGGTTGTGCAGGTTGTGGTTGTGTAGGTTGTGGGAGTGTGGGGATGGGTGAGGCTGGTTTTGTTGTGCAGAGTCAGCAGCGTGGGTAGTAGCGTGGCCCGCTGCTGGTGCCACGTGGGTACGTGGGTCATGCCACCATCACTATCACCACCACTACCTGCTGCCTCACTCAAATCATTGATACCCATCGTAACAATATCGTCATCTTCACTATCAGGCCTTGGTGTAGAGCCACGGGATGTGTTCCCAGAGTTACTCCTTCCCCTTGGAACAGCATATGAAACACTACCAGACCGCATGCTACGACGTACATACTGCCGTTTCACTGGGGAATTTTCACCTTCACTGTCACAACTAGAACTGCTGTCAATAACCTTGAAATCACTATCACGTTCACTGCTAACATCTGGGTCTTGTACATGGCCAAATAGTTTCCTCTTTTGCCCTGGTACAGGTGAACATGAACATGAACAAGCCGGCCCAGCACCAGAGGTGGAAGGTTGTGGGTCATCTGGGTTTTCATCACTAATTACGTTATCCCGGGCACTTTTTTCGGTCACACTCACTTGAAAACCCTGGAATTCAGTCACTGATACTTTCATCGCTGTTAGAGCTATCACTTGGGAACAAAAGACCTCCAATCCGCCGAGGAGTGAGGTACTTCCGACCGCGAGGCATGGTGAAAATGGACTAACAAGATGGCGCTCCTGCAATGCACCACTGAGTCCCAGATTTTTTTTCACAGGGTGCACACCCACCACTGAGACACATTCTCTCTCGTGTAGGCGTACCAGGCTTTTCCTGCTTGATTTGAGGCCGCTAGAATTTAAGCGTATAGATACGTCAGAAACAGTGGCACGTAAGATGTATTAATACGGTGTAAACAGTTAAAGGGTTAGTTTATTTTAAGCTTTAGAAAAGTTGTCATGGTATTCAGTATAAGGTGGATAACACAACTACAGTGGACCCCGGATAACGTAATTAATCCGTTCCAGAGAGAGAGACTTGTACTGAATCTGACGTAATCTGAATTAATTTTCCTCGTGAGAAATAATGGAAATCCAATTAACCCTTTGACTGTCGCGGCCGTATATATACGTCTTACGAGGTACCATGTTTGACGTATATTTCTTTTATTATCACACTGGCCGATTCCCACCAAGGCAGGGTGGCCCAAAAAAGAAAAACTTTCACCTTCATTCACTCCATCACTGTCTTGCCAGAAAGGTGCTTTACACTACAGTTTTTAAACTGCAACATTAACACCCCTCCTTCAGAGTGCAGGCACTGTACTTCCCATCTCCAGGACTCAAGTCCGGCCTGCCGGTTTCCCTGAACCCCTTCATAAATGTTACTTTGCTCACACTCCAACAGCACATCAAGTATTAAAAACCATTTGTCTCCATTCACTCCTATCAAACATGCTCACGCATGCCTGCTGGAAGTCCAAGCCCCTCGCACACAAAACCTCCTTTACCCCCTCCCTCCAAACTTTCCTAGGCCGACCCCTACCCCGCCTTCCTTCCACTACAGACTGATACACTCTTGAAGTCATTCTGTTTCGCTCCATTCTCTCTACATGTCTGAACCACCTCAACAACCCTTCCTCAGCCCTCTGGACAACAGTTTTGGTAATCCCGCACCTCCTCCTAAC